GGCAAAGGTTTCCATATAATAATTCTGCAGTGTTCAACACCCGCCTTTCCCCCATCACAAGTATTCTACCTCCTTGGCGACATCTGAATAATCGAAAGTTTCTTCACGTTCAACTGTATACTTTAGTCTCTTAGACCTGCCCTACCACAGAAAATGCTTTCAAAGCATGCAGTACGTTTCAGTAGGAGCAAGGAGTAGATTGACTCCGCACGTAAACCCAGTCGCGCATTTCTCCGCATTGGGAGGATTACTGCTAAACTTGTCTGGGAGGATAGCACCACTAATTTGATACATCGGCAAGCTACCGCCAGGCATTGTAAAGACCAGATATGTATTCAGTTATCTCTAGTTATAAGTAAATGTACATATATAAATAGATATATATACATACATATATATAGCGTCAGTAACAGTACAAAATGTGCAGTCAAAGAGAGATAACGCACCCAAAACGCAACAGTCATCTGCGCCCATCTTTTTGGTGTTAACAAAAGCATGAAACGCCACAATTGCTAAACGCGAACTCATTTGCCGATCAAAAGTTGAAGGAGGTCCGCCCTCCTGTGTATTGCATAGAACGTTGACACGTGCTGATAACTGCAAAAATAAACATAATCGGAAGTTTCGGCTTTTATCTATATATTTAGTCGTGTAAATAACATTGATTTGTTCATTATTCCGTATACCTTTATTAGAAAAAGTATTTTTGAATTAATAAACTCATATCAACCTTCCTCGTGTAAAACTACTCGCCCATTAAGAGCTGCGAATCTGCTATGGTTATATTCAGCTCGAATCAGCTACTTTATTCGGTACCTAAGAGAATTTAGCAAAAATTGAAAGACATCTTAGCCTCTAGCGACTGAATACACCATTGATCAATGCCAAGTGGCAAACAAAGATTTCCCTTTGCGGCACCAGCAACTTCTTTGGAACGGTCTTTGCAGAAAGCTGTTAAATGTCTTTGTCCTGCAGCCTGATATGGATTCACTGAGCATTACATTTTCCATGTATCCTGACTTAACATGAGCGCTATGACTACATCCATTCTGGTGCATGTCAAATAGATTTAGGCTCTGCTAAATTTGCATGTGGATACAGAAATGCCAAATCTCTTTGGTGGATTGAAGCTCTGTAAAATCCGAGAAGAAGAGGGCCTGTGCGTTTGAGAGGCAGTAGTTCCCCAGGTTGAGTAGCACACTACAAAAATTTTAGCATCGAATTCAACCCATCCCGCTTTGCACGAGCATTATAAGTTCATGCACTATCTAAAAGTTCTTTGAACACGTCAGTCCACTTTTCTGCTCAGCGATTTTTGTTTTTCCTTTTTGTCCTTTCTGGAAACTGAACAAGAGAACGACTACTCCATAAACTAGGTGATTCTTTCATGTCTGACGTGTTCCATACATCTAGTACACACTGAGACGGGAGCACTTAATTATTTCACTCCAATCAAACCGAAAGAAGAGGGCTAAATGATAATTGACAGCAAGAATTGGAGAGTCTTCTCTCTTACCCATTGCTACACCATATCATCTAAGATTTACTCTATGAGCAAATTTCTTGACATTCAGACTACTTTGTTCCGCGGATTTTTTGAACAATTTATTGAAACAAAAAGAAAATAACAAATCTCTCTTAACGACCGCACCTGATGCTCGGCTCCATAATAATCAAAGGCATTTTTTATAACATTGGTAGTTATCAAATCACTCGCACCGTTACTTCTTATCACCGTGTAGTAATTGCAACCTCGTTCTGCTTTTGTTATGGCTTCCTAAACCTCTGTCGGCATCATGGTGAGAATATTTCTCTCTGAGAAAGCTCGATTTGATCAAAATTTTTGAATGCCCATGAAAAATCATTCTGTAGAAGATCAAAAACTGTGCACTCTTCCCCCTTATTTACTACCAGTTGGCCCACAGTTCTACATAAACAATGTTATGTTGCGTTTGCCGACTTCCAAACTCCATTGAACTGGCAGTACAGTCCTTGATTCATTCTAATGAGGACAGACTGGAGTTTACATTGCTTGAGATTTGGATCCCTATGACTATGAAGTGCCAGCACTCTAAGGAAAAGCTATCAAACGCACTTTGATCATTTTTAAGAGATCGTTGTAATTAAACTCTTTTCGAAAGACAAGCGCTTTATCGGCTCCAGTTGCGATTGCTGCCATCGTGGCCAGGAATCCACATCGCTCTCCCATTGTCTCGATGATTATCGCCCTAAAACCGAAACGACGCTATAGTTTACGGCATGAAACAATATAGCCAAAGAGGAGATCAACAGATGAATCATTTCTATTGAGCTGACCATCATCTCAATTGTGTCCTTCAAAAGTTATTTTATGTGCCCCGAAATCAGTATTCATGTAGTAATCAGTAATCAGTAAGGTTGCAGTGAATAGGTTTTTGAGATCACTTCTAATGTTCGGATCCGCTGTTTCTGGTTGCTTGAAAAAGGAAAATCTAGCCAAAAAAAAGGATGGCTTAGGTACTCTAAAGAGCGAAATGTGAACGGATAAGTTGCCAGATTTGCCAAAATCTATACATATGGGGCGAAGATTTTGTAACACGCATGTGCCGAAATTGCTACATTCATCTTAAAAGTTTTTAACGCTTTATGAACCTTTCATTACCCGTTTTCATTTGCTTTCTTCTTAAACACCTTTTTAGTGGGTTGAGAAAGCAAAAAAATTGGGTTTCACTTGCTGAACGCTTTATCGCGCTTATTCACATTAACCATCTGTACATTTTTTGCCCTGTTTCGCAGAGATTCCTAGGTCTTCCCAGTCGAAATTGTGAAAGAAAGTTTATCTTATCGTGCTACGGGTTCAGGCCTTAATTTCATTTTTACTGCTAAATAAATTCGCTATTTAGGCTAAGGTTCCGAAATTTCAATTTTCTGCTCGTATTCTAACAACGCTCTTTATTGCGCAGTAGCAAGAAAATAAGATTCAGTTCCACACACGGTGCGCAGTTTTTGATGGACTAGGGTATGTCAATGGGTTTCCGCAACATTGGCAATAAACGGCACCGAGGTCCTTGATACAGTTAGGGGCTGCGGATAGCCTTCTAACGGACTTTTACTAGTTATTTGATGGCTTACAGTTAGATGGTTCTAACAAGTTTGATTAGTGAAAAATCTCCATAGTGCACTGGAAAAGAGAAAAGAAGATCACGTCTGTGGAAAAGAGAAGAGAAGATTACGTTTAGCATTTTTGAAGCTTAGGCTCAGACTACGTAGTTAGTTTATTTGGCAGTAAAAATGAAAATAAAGCCTAAATAATAAAGTGACTACTAGAAGCCCAGCAAAACCGAAGTAGGTCATGTCCCCACTGGGTTCAAAAGAACTTTCCGATAACACAACTGTACTACTTTCTTTAATCGATACTACTTTCCATTTAGCACTGTTATACTAGATGTAAATAATTGATTCATAATGCGAATGAGCGGTGTGGCACAAGAAATTACTAATAAAATGCAGTCTATGGAAAGAATATATTTGCATCAGTGCTCCTATGAGAAATTTTGTCGTAGGCTTAAAAAAACAAAATATGTGATTTAGAGAAACCGGGAATGAAAACATCTTGAGCACCTCTTCTTAGTTCGTTTCGCATTTTGCTGTATATTGTCAACTTGACGACAGATCTCGTTCAGAGCTGTATCAGCACCAAGAGAAAGACACGTCTGTTAATTGATACTAGGAAAAAAATCCAAGACTAGTCTGTCAGAATGTGGAATAACACAGCGCAGTTATTAGGTGCCATACATGTTTCAGTAGTACAGGACCGCACTGTGGCAAGGAGTATCTTGAGGCAAATTCCATCTATTCGTGTAGGTAAATTTATCCATTCGATCATCCCATTATAACAAGAAACTAGAATCTTTCCAACACGATCTTCCCAATACTACTTCTTGATCGACCGCCTAACCGATTTATACAGTGTGACAAGCCAAATCCCATAATCAACTTATGAATAGAAAATAATAAAACTTCAAGTAATGTATGGCACACTTTAGCAAATAGTGTGACTGAATCAAATCTGAAAATCCTGTAAAATGTTCATTTCCTCAACAAGACCACCATAGCCGCGAAAAAAAGCAAAAATTTCCCTTGAAAGCATATAAATAGGCCTGTCGTTGTCATAGATATAAACGGCATCAAAAAATCCCGGCCGTTCTTTAACAAATTTTCGCCTGATCCAAGACTGTCGGAGACTTTCTGCGATAACATCCTGCAGGACTGTTTCTAGGATTCAGAGAATAGTTCTTCTCCACTAACGAAAATTGATCGAACGGGTTCATTACTGGGTCACCCATGATTAGTGGCAAACAGGTATGCAAGGAAGTAAATACCCTTATTTTGACTTTAATAACATACCCCTGGAACATTGTTGGCAACAGAACATGGAATCACAATAATGGGAATATTGAAAGCTGCAAAATTCGTACGAGCACTATGGAGAATCTTTGCCGAGTGGAATGCCTAAATTAGGACGATTATATAACACTCATAAGAAGTTTCCAATTTTATTCATTAGGTAGAAATTCAATTTTAGTGATGATTTGTACAATGGAAGCAATTTTTGGTTTGGCTGATCTATGGAGAAACATCTTATCGTGAAGAATAACATAAAGTGCTAATAAGAAATAATCATTTGAATTGCATAAAAGGACGTTGAAGAAACATGCTCTTACAATGGTTTGCTTAACAATGTTATAAGGGCTGTACTTGACAAAAAAAAAATCTGCGTCAGATGGGATTCGAACTTAGATTTCACTCTAACCGGGAGCGCGTGGTGAACCGTTGCACTACCCACACCCGTTTTGACACCACTCTTCCTACGCTACAGAACATTATCTGTCAACAGCCAACCGTCAAAGGTCTGGCGTGGGTAGTCAATATCGACATTGAACCCGCCTATGCTGACAGATATTGAGTATCAATAATTAATCAGAATTCTTTTTGGCTTAGAAAGAGTGGTGTCAAAACAAGCGTCGGTAGTGCAATGGTTCAGCACAAGTGCTCGGATAGAGTGAAATGTGGATTCGAATCCCACCCGACTCACATGCTTTGCACACCACTCTACATTCTTAGGTTTACTGTAACATCATACTACCGCAAGAGGCGGTCAAATAATGAGAATTGTGAAAAAATTTATTATTCAAACATGGAGAACTAATACTCAATTTCTTTGCTTTTCTTGAAATTGTTATAAAATGAAGAGTAATATGATGACCTCGAATCCTCCTACAATAAGGAGGCCTTCAATGTTCTGATCAGCCAGTACACCTGCGATTTTTTCGATATCTGTTGGCAGTTGTCTCCTTGCGCCCAACTCCGTACCGCCACGACTCATCCAGCCTCCAACATTTTCATAGTTCAATACCTAGACACTTCAGCCATCATAAATTTTTGAGAGTAGAACGTATTACAGAACGGTCGTGTGAAAAATTGCGATAGAGATATTAAAAGTTCGGTAACTTGCCGTGAATTTGCCTCCCAGTAGACCGTCCCAACTTTCCTCAATGCCGTAAACGTTGTAGTTTGAATGGTTTGCAATTCGAACAAAAGCATGGGTAACGCAGTTCATGCCTGTAAGGTGGTTCGAATTCACCCCCGTCATTGTTAGAAAGTTGGATAGCATGAATCACGATCAGAATTGCGGATTCACTCAGCACACTCATCAATTTTATCGCCAGTCGATCAATACGGATCATTTATACTGTGTATGACCTAAAATAAGGAATGGCTCGTGTACCGGGAGTAGGTGAGCCAACGTGAACAATGGCGAAATTCTTCGTTATTCCAAAAAGGGAATCTGGCAACTTCGCTACCATCTAAATAAGAAAGCCTAAGAAGTTCCTGAATTTGGAGACATCGACTGTCGAGTAGGATACAATAATCTGAATCGTAACATTATAAATTTAACTATCAACGTGAATGAAACCAAAACCACGCTACATGATAGATGTCAAACTGAGACCTACTTGCACGAATCTAGCTTTCTGCAGGAAGTTTCTGCCACGAATATGCATTGCTTTCTTGTATGAGCCCTTACGGGCCTGTTCATGCACCTGTAACAAAAGGCCTTTTCTGCGCTAAACACTTGTAACCTATCTTGTTTCTCGTCTCTTCATATCATACAAAATGCATAAGTTCCTATTGTTTAAAAGAAATCAGATGGAGTATTTGGCGGTATAAACTCTTGGAGTATGCGCCACAGATCTGACTTTATTAGGTTTCGTTCAAGTGAATGAATGCATACTTGGCCTTTAAAATAACTTACAAGGAAGCAGTGATTTATAATTCATTGTTTCATATAATCTTGCAAGTCAGGTGCTACTCTGTCGATTCGAAGCGAATGATTGGCATTGTTATAGCAAGGCATGAGATTAAATCAATAACCAGGTGTGCAATACAAAGCTCCCATTCACTGCGCTATAAGCCTCCCTTACAGCTTCTATTACCTCAGCAGGTCTGACTCGACCATCATACAATGTATTTCTTAAGTGAATGTGATGTATTAGAAATACGAACCGTGTAATTTCTTGTAACATCAGTATAAGAAAGCTCTCAACAGAATATTTGTTCCAAAGTCGTTCTAAGAAACTGCTCAGCATCTCCCCAATCATTCTCGACCAATGTGGTATTTTACTCTATTTTTTGTAAACACATATAGTCTAAATATGCCGAGTTTCTTGGCATAATAACAAAATAAAATTTTCCACGGAAAGTTTTGTAACAACAAAAATTCTCACTCACCCGACGTGTCATAGTTATGACTACTGAAAGCGGTTTTCTCACAATTTCGTGACCTATAATGCATTAGGATTTTCATGATTATTGTGAACAGATTGTCGGAGAGATCACCTTTCAAACAGAGAACGCTCGGAGATAAATCTCCACTAAGTAGGGTATTCACAGCTTCATATCCCATTCTTGAACCGAGATGTCGATCCAAATAACTAGGTCGACCTCCTCTTTGAAGATATCCGAGTTGAACGACTTGCACTTCGTACTGAAAAGAGAAGCCTATAAAATTTATCTATAAAAGAATTGCAGTGAAACTGATCGTAATCGAAACTGTAATAAGACCATGAACATAAAACAGATATATGTAACCATGAACATAAAACTATACTACACTCGAGATGTATACATCAATTCCCGACTTTAAATATACTATTTTATTTTTATCTCGAGTGCTTTGTTTAGACCACGCTAAAATTTCAATATATCCTTTCATCATTATTTGAGCCAACATGTCATGTGGTCTGGTAAGGGCTCTTGTACAGCCCGAGACACGTGTTTCGTCCTTACAGACTCATCAGCCGGGCAGAACCCGTCGTCTGTCGATCTTTTATAGTCAGTTCTCTCTCGGGAGCGTCACACTCCTTATAAAGAGTTATCGACGACGTACGCTTTACACTCTATGTCAAGTAAAACATTCACCTAACATACTAGCTTTCGAGATAAAGGTATTATTATGATAAAAGTACCATATAATGAGCAATCGAGTGCACAGCACTCTGCATTAAAAAGCACTCGAGATAAAGGTATAATTATGATAAAAGCACCATACAATGAGCAATCGAGTGCACAGCAATTAAAAAGCACTCGAGATAAAGGTATAATTATGATAAAAGTACCAACCAATGAGGAATCGAGTGCACAACACTCTGTGTTAGAAAGCACTCGAGATAAAGGTATAATTATGATAAAAGCACCATACAATGAGCAATCGAGTGCACAGCAGTTAAAAAGCACTCGAGATAAAGGTATAATTATGATAAAAGTACCAACCGATGAGGAATCGAGTGCACAACACTCTGTGTTAGGTGAATGTTTCACTTGACATAGAGTGCAAAGCGTACGTCGTCGATAACTCTCTATAAGGAGTGTGACGCTCCCGTGAGAGATCTGACTATAAAAAGATCGACAGACGACGGGTTCTGCCCGGCTGATTAGTCTGTAAGGACGAAACACGTGTCTTGGGCTGTACAAGAGCCCTTACCAGACCACATGACATGTTGGCTCAAATAATGATGAAAGGATATACTATTTTAGACTCCGATGAAGATTAACAATGCACAAGATAATCCATTGTTAGACAAATTAGATGTGTTGATGAAGCAACCATGCAGCTCTCGTAAAGTAAGGCGTTAGTCGGAAACTCGAGCAGAATCTGTGCCACATTGAAGTGGGACAAAAAATCATTTAACTGCTCAAATAGTGAAATTGTATTGTTTCAAAAATGTTGCTTGTGCTACTAAACTCCACCGATAGCCTCTGGATGCTATGGAAAACACTTCGTTTTTTTCCAGTTATCATATATACAGGTGAATAAACTTATATGAGACTGCGGCTGAACTTTAAAATATCGTCTTCTCTCCTTAGTGACATGTCAAATGTTGCTACAGCACAATTTTCCTAGGGACACAGCGCTCTAGAGCGTTTTTTTCGTCTTCACATTTCCCTGCTTTTTGGGCTGCACAGAAATTTGCTCCCTTAACCTGTGCTGCTAGCAAATCCTGTGATTTGTCAACCAACTAACCATGATTTACTTATAGCGACTAAGGTGCTGTGATATGAGCAGAATTTGATGATCCAGGTAAGCTTCCAACTGGTAATTAACTCTTCTGGGTCTTCGGTTGTTAATGCCGTAGTCATCATGATAGTTCTATCACTCGTATTATGCTGGCTCTCAAAAAAAAGTTACTGGTATATTAAGGGGTGGTATAAAAGTGCTAGAATCGACATAACTGCAGTTGACATTTTCAAATTCTTTTTTGAAGTTGCGCACAGAAGCTTCGATGTTTAAATTGTAATAAGACTAATATTAGCAAAAAAGCAGTGCGTTGAAATAATGATGGACTCAAATCGACATGCGGAAAAACTAATTGGGCCAACCACTATAGGCAGAGTGGATAGATATGTCTAGAAAACTTAAGGAGACACTCAAAAAATTTTTTGAAGTGTGAAACTCTGTTGTAAACTAAGTTACAATAATTTTTTCAAAGTTCAAGCCGTCAACTTATGAACTAAATTTTCATGATAGGAACCTCGAACTGCCAGAAAATCAGTAGTCAAACCTTTAATTTTCCTTCAATTGCTTTTTTGATATCGGCTGCAGTTATCGACTTTCCTTCGCTATCAAGGGAGCCTTCAGACACAAGTACAATGTGCTGCCGTATACTGACCTACAAAATGAATCAGTTTAGATTCAGTGGTAGAGAAAAGTGGTTAAGCAGAAGTAGTAAAATAGTAGCAATATTAGTATGAATCAAAGAAAAGGAGTGCCTATGCTCACTTTTCGTTTTTTCATAAGCTGCGTACACAAGGCATCAGGCCAATTTTGAACCGGTGGAATTTCCGGAATGAGAACAAAATCTGCTTCTAAGGCAAGAGCAGCAGTGAGTGCTATGTCTCCACATTCTCGGCCCATCGCCTACAAAAGTGAGGCTTTTTCCATCCTTGCAAAAGTTGATATAAGGGCAGTGTCTTCATTTTTAACGAAAACAATCTGTAGTAAATTCCTCTTTCCCCTAAACGACAACAAACTTCTGTAAACTTGTAGAGGAAGTCTGTTCTGCCTAAAATAAATTTTTCAGATTTAGAAAAGAGATAGTAAAGTAGAGCCATTCGTGAAAGACAATCTGTAGTACTGAGATCAAGAGCGGGCTGGAGTATTAGGGAAGATACTTAAGGAAGAATTGAACCTTAGAAAATTACAATAATTGTCTCACCTTATTGCTTTTGAATATAGCAAATTATTTCGTACGCAACTTTCATTGTAAACTAGTCGAGAATGTGTAAAGTTGATGCGTAGAAAAGTTTTTAAGTACCAGAAATGCCAACGACGTGTTAGTGAACATCATCGAGTTTTACTGCATGATTTTCCGCTCGTTCAAAACCTTATCACAGTAAAACAAAAAAATCTATTTGCTCTGACAGCTAAAGTCGTTATATTCAACTTTGTTAGGCCCATGAGCAGGTTCTGTTGTTCGATCAAATTCACTCTCACATGAGGCGTTTGCTGACAGCTGGAAGACCCTACTATTCTT